TCATCAATAATGACAATAGAAAAGTGATTCCTTCAGTAGGTACTTATAATTCTCAATTAGTTCTAGATGAAAATTCATGACCTTTGTGCTGAGGTAACTTGTGAATGTGTTGGTGAAAGGTGGAGTGATTGAAGAATATATGTTGGGATAATAATATTATGTACCTTATTTAATTATTTAATATTAATTAGTTAAATTAAAAAGTTTTAGTTACTCAAGGTAAGCTAAGTATTTTATAACAGATATAAAAAAAGCTAAATTAAGCAAGCTATATACTTTTTAACCACATCGTTTAGAAATATGAAATATCAATAATTTCGAAAGATTGTTTTTCTTAATGCAAGACCATACCGTAAAGTTACTAGTGTATTTTTCTCAGTGCACTTGCAATCCTAGCGAGTTAATGGCCGGCCGCGAACTTCATGGGAGATTGTGCGTAGGTGAAATTTGTTTTTAATCGTGTTAGCCACCACTTGGAATTAGTTTGGTCTGTTGCTGTTTTATCAGCGGGCGCAAAACCCTCATCAGTTCTCAGAGGGGTCACCATTCGCTTGGGGTCACCACACAAGAATCACATGGCTATGATGACTCAAGCAAAGGCGGAACAGATGGGTGAAGACGATTGTTCAGCAGGAAGATAAGGGGTTTGCATTGTTTAAAATATAACAATTTTTTCTTGTTAAAGTTTCCAACTCAAATGTCCTTCTAAATCCATTAAATGTTCTATTTAAATTAACCATGCTAAATTCGACCCCTGAAATCCTGAATATCCCCTTCCGGCAAAGGCGATTTACAAATGGCCATTGCGAGTAAATATGTCAAGTGCAGGCGGTCGACCCCAAAAATAAAATTAAAAAAAAGGCTGAAAATAAAAACACACACACTCGACTACCGACTGTCGAGTACCGATTTCTCCTCTCCTCCCAAAAAGGCCGCAAAAATGCTTTGGCCCTTTTGGGTGCCTGCATTTCCGGTTGCACTCAGTGGTCAACGGTTCCAGTGTAAATTGGTCAACTAAATTATGCAGCATCAGTTGCAGTTTGCAGTTTGCAGCTGGAGTTGCAGTTGCAGCCAAGCTGTAGGTCCAGGATCTCATCCCCCTAAAATCCTGGCCCTTTCCCACAGGACAAACCATCGACACCAGGAGCAACAGCTGAGTGAAATTTGCATTCCATAAAATTTTAAAGCTAAATAAAGTGTCGCCACCTCGGGTCATGTTGCCATGTTGCTGCTGCAAGTGCAATTCATGTTGCTCCTGTCTGAAGAGCTGAAGTGATACGAAATTATTGTGAGAAGCCAAGAAGGAAATTCGGTTATTGGCTATGGCCAGGAAATATAGAAAGGTTTAAGCCACTTGAATAAAAACTGAATAGTGGGAGAGAAAATGAATAAATTAGTTTGCTAAAAACTTCTCTATAAATTATAAATAAATTTTAATTTTTAACGGAATTTGTTTAAACTTATCTGTAACCATCACAAATTTATTTATTAATATCCCAAAACATTTCTGATTACCTATTAACTTTGAGATAATCTTATAATCTATATGTTTTTATTTATATTTTTATTGGTTTTGTGTTAGTTCTTATTTCCAAACTAGATATTATAAAATATATTATCATTATAATATTAATAATAATAATTAAATTTCCATTATTATGTAGAAATAATTCTGAATCAGTTTGCATTCCTAAAATTTATTTGTAAGCTAAAAAATCCTATAAAATTGGTACCTATATATTTTGAATAAAATAGTTTTGTATTAATTTTGGTTAATAATCAAATTCTACTTCGAATTTTAAGTAGAGGGCCACCAGATTTTCCGATCCCATTTCACTTCCAATCATTTTTCGGGGTCAAATGCCCAGCCTCCTTTTTTTGGTGTTGGCCATATTCTCGCCGGCCAGAAAAACATATGTTCGCGGTCTTTATTTGGTGGTCAACCGGTTCAGTGCCGCCCACTTTCCGCCCCTTAACCCCCTGATGCCCCCGGTGCCCCCGCTTGACCCCGGCTATTTGTCACTTGCAACCGCGACGGCCATTTCCGTCGGCCAGTCGCCATATTTATGCAGTTGGTCGCCGTAGGTTTGTATGTAGTTATTCGTTCGCCGCTTTTTTGCGCTCTTTTCAAGTTTATGCAGTTGCGAAATTGCTGACAATTGATAGGCCATGGCAGTGGCAATGGAAGTGGCAGCAGCAGCAGCCAGTGGACCTGCTTTCAGCTCCAGTCTTGACTTGGCCCCCGTTCGGTGGCCACAATTTAGCGCGCGGCGACTACCGAAAAGTGCAGCAGCAACATCGAAGCACACTGAGCGAAAAGGTCGTTGGTTTCATAAAATAAAAAAAATTGTATTCAGTATTTATATTCAGTATTAATTTTATTAATAGCATTTTAAATATAATAACTAATTTAGGGAAAGGAAAGCAATTGTGGTCATCGACAAAAAATGTTGGCAAATGAAATAAAAAATAAATTGCAAATTATATAAATCCATGATTTTTAAATAAAGAGCTTATCCTTATTGAATACCTATTAATGGATATTTTTCAAAATTAATATTTCTATACTATTATAATACTATTATGAAGTTTTAAATAGTTTACTTAAGGAACTTGGCCAAGTCAATATATTTTTTAAATTAATTATATTTAAATAATTTTTTTCCAGTGCACCAACAAGTTGAATGCAGATTGGCTCCGAACTCAAACCCGGACCCGTCTCTTGATGAATGCACAAATAATGGGGATGCATAATGCCAAACAGGAAATAAATTATGCTCAGTCGGGGTCGGGGATTCGGCATTTTTACTGCCACCGTAGGAGGACAGACGAGAACCAACTGCAAAGTGCGGACTGAAAACTTCAGACATCAGACGGAAGACAGAAAATCAGAATCAGAAGCACAGGCAGCGTAATAACAACAATCATCATGATTATCATTAGCATTAGCAGCGTCATCATAGCGATACAGCCAATCATCATTGTCAATCACAATCAGAACACTAGACAACGAAAAGGGTTTTCGAAAATATTAACAATATTTCGGAAAATAATTAACTAACTTGGATATTATTAGATACTTTTCATTGACTAATTGGCTTCCTAAATGGTTTTTTTACATTCAAGAAATCACTAAAATATTTTAAAATTTTTGAAAACTAGTTTAAAAATTTTTAGGTTTAAAAAATTGTATATTTATTATTATGATATTAGAATATTAATAAATATTTTTTCGTATATCACGAATTATTTGTATTAAGACTTTTTAAAAACTTAGTTTCTGTCTTATTATAAATTCATTTCTGCAATTTTTTCCATTTATTTCGTAACTTTGCTAACCAGTGTAAGAGGATCATCATCGCTTTGGCCGACTATGGGCAGGATAATTTTGTTTGATTTTGATTCTGATCGAATTAGCGTAAAATTGAGCGTTCGTCAACTTTTGGGAGCGGGGTCGCGACCAGTCGCTGATCCCTTCCAGCGCCATGGTAGGGGTATGGATATATAGAAGTCGAATCGGAGAATCGGAGTCGGAACGTGGGCTCATTGACAAAGTCGGAGTTCAGATCTTCAGATGGCGCAGGCCGCGTGCGGGGCATTAAAGAGGCGTGGAAATCAAGACCCTCCAGATGATTTGCATTCGCTGTTTCTGCAGCTTCACTTAGAGAAATTAGAACTTAAAAGAAAATAAATAAGTAAATAAGAAAATAAATAGTAATTTTATTAAATTAGTATAATGGACATTTATCAAAACTTCAATTTTTTCAATCAAAAACGATTTTAAAATAAAATATGTAAAAATATGAATAATTTTTGATGATTTTTTGCGAAAAATTAAAAATGAGTAAATTGTCAAGGTTTAAATGCCAATCGTTAGGAAATTTAATAACGAGTTCAGAAAGGTATGACAATCCATACTTGGATCAATATTTCTATTGTTACGGTCAAAAAACGAGTTATTTTTTGTAAAAAAAATGGGATCTGGGTTTTTGGTAAAATCAGTTCTTTATTATAATACATAATTTTATTTCTTATTATTATTTTTAAATATTTTATCATTTAAAATTTTACTAACCATGTTGCAGTGCTGCTTGGGTCGGCGTAATTGACCAGGTTATTTTGCGCTTGCTTGGCCCGGCTCCTTGGGGCAAATTGATTTTGCTTCGTGCCTCATCAGCAGCGACAATTGCCCTTGCGATGATCGCCACGATGATTGGGCTTCCTGGGCTTCTTGGGCTTTTCTTCGTGCGCTCACGTAGCCGCTGCTGCTGCTGCCCCTGCCCCCTCACCCAACCCCCCTGCTGGACATCCTGGTCCGCCGCCTCTGGTGGCTGCTGCTTTTGTCCCTCTCGACCGGCTACCGATGTTTCTTGCGGTTTCACACTTTGGTTAAGGTTCCTGCCCTTCGCACTCGGACTCGCACTCGCGGTCAGCTTTCAGTCATTGGGTCACGGCCTGCCTCCTACGGGAGGACTACCTATTGCCCAAATAAAGTCGACCTCAAAATCAAAATTAACCTGGCCCTAAAGTCACTTTGTTTTATTAGTAAACCAAAAGTTAATAAAAATCAATTAAAAAATGAAAAAATATCAGTTCTAATTGTTAATTGTATTGAATTAAATTGTATTAAATGTTAGATACAAGTTTAAAACTCTAATATAAGTAGGGATTTAAATATTTTCATTATTCTTAATATTGTTTATGTGAGTAGTGCATTAATTTATAAGAAAATCCTTGTAGCACCAGGAAATACGAAAGAAATAAATACAATGGATTCCAGGAAAATTACAATATTGTCTAGTAAAATAAACTAGTTTTATAAACAATAAGAAATAGGATATAAGAAAGATATAAATAAATAAATACAATGGATTTCAGGAAAATACAATATTGTCTAGTAAAATAAACTAGTTTTATAAACAATATTCCCTTACCCAAGATATTTCACCAGCTTTGGCAATATCCTCTACTAATTTCCCATCAATAAAAACAATTCATAGTTCTTCTTACAAAATGCGAATTTTAATAGCGGCGGAAGGCCGAAAAAAAGTTGACAATTGGGTTACTTAGACTATTACAAAAAGCGGTTGAGACTTAGAGCGAACTTAGGGCGCCTATTTGATGTACTTGTCCATGAACTTCTTGTGGAAATCGGAGCGCAGGGCGTCGTTGACGAAGTGCGTCTTCTTCTCGGGCGCCGAGCGGGCGCAGTTCTTGAACACGACGTCGTCGTCCCAGCGGCGCTTGATCTTCAGATCGCCACCGAGGCCAGAGGCACGTCCCGCGGCGGAGGCAGCGGTTCCTGGTTCGTAGTTAATCAGCGGATTGCCCGACAAGATGTTCTCCATGCGGATGCGCTCGTCCTCCTGCTTCTTCTCCGACTCGCGACGCGCCGTCTCCTGGAGGCGCTCCTGCTTGATCTTCTGCAGCTCGGCCAGCAGGGCGGCATCGTCGTCATCCGAATCGCTGTCCGAATCGGAGCTATCGTTGTCCAGCGGCTCGTCGGCGTCCAGATTGGCGGCCTGCTGTTGCTGCAGCTGCTGCTGCTGCTGCAGGGCGTCGGGTTTGGCTCTCTTGCCAGCGGGCGCACTGTTGGCCTCGATGGCCTTGCGCACAATGGAGGGCAGCGCCTTGCCCGAGGAGGAAGTGGCTCCCGGACCGGAACGGGCCTCGCGCTCGCGCTCCTCCAGCTCCTTGCGGAAGTCCCGGCCGCGGATCTCCTCGCTGGTGCCCTGGCCCGTCTCCCTGTAGCGAAACATATATCGATTAGGCCTTGGTTTACCCGCAAATCCCTTAAATCGAGTACTACCTGTATTTCAGCTTCGTGTGGCCTGGCAGATCGCGACTGGAATACTGCTTGCTCAGCGCACTCAGGTCCTTTTCGCCGCGGCCGGAGCCGCCGCGGGCGGGGTCAAAGGTCGGACGCGCGGCTGTGGTCATTTTGGGCTAGCTAATTATCGTTTAAAATGGTTAAATTCAGTTAAAACGAAATGCTTCTAATTGCGTTTATTGCTTTATTCCGCCAGTGTGGCTGTGGTGCTACAACAATAGAAATACCTACATCAAGGGTGTTCCTTTTGTGTTTTGCCTATAAAAAGGTTCGAACCTTCGATAAGTGTTAAGTAAAGACACAAACCGTGATAAGCCCCTGTCCGATGGGCAGCACTGGCCAATCAGCTGTTTGTGGTAAACACGCGCGGACCGCCGCCGTTTTAGCCAAATAAATCCGGATAAGTTATCCCCATTTCGGTGCTTTAGGCCGATTTTAGTTCTATTAAAGAACCCCCAACCGAGCCCACCCCCAACGACGGCCATGCTGGCCAACCTGCAGGCCCACAGCGGCCACCTGTTGCGTCAGAGCCTGCGAAACGCGAGGATTTGGCGGCGAAGCTGGGCGAGCACGGCGGCTGGAAAGGATCAGGATGCGCAGGACGACAGCCTGACCATCGGCGATGTGAGCGTGCGGCTGCGCAAGCCCAAGGATCCACAGCTGGTGCCGCAGCAATACGGTGAGCATTAGGGGATGCCAAGATCTCCGGGAAGTACAAAGGTCAACCAAGTGCCTTTATCTCTGTGCCCTGAAGATCCAGTCCATCCCATCATTATATCATCCCATTAGCTCATCTTTAATCTATTATAATATAGATACATATTTCTAATATAATATAATATAACTATTAGTGATTTCCTAATTGTAAAGACCATAAAAGGATTAGTATATCTTATCATCATGATTGTCTTTTGGAGTACAGCTATAAATTTAGTCCATCCTATTATTATATCACATTAGATCATCTTTGATGGAGTAGGATAGGGCATACATTCATATATTTAATATAATTGTTATTGATATCCTAATTGTAAAAACCATAATATGATTTGTATATCTTATCGTCAGGATTGTCTTTTTAAGTAAATCTACTTAAGAGTAAATTATTCCTTTATTCCTTTTCCCTATTCTATAAACGGAGTATATTTCTTAAACTCACAAGAATCTTTACTATTTCCCGTTAAAAAATTAACATTTTGAAAGTAAATTATTCCTTGAGAATAATATTATAAGTATGTATGTATATGTAGATATTTGAGAATTCCCATCCCTTAATTGGAGTATATTTCTTAAACTCTGAAGATTCTGTTATATTTTCCATAAAAATATCAACATTTTTAAACTATTTCAACTATATAATACAAAATACCTTTTAAAAAAAATCTTCTTAAATTAAAATACAACATAATATTACATTTATAACGTCAAGTTACCAAAGAACCTTACATTTTCGAAAAGATTTCGATTACGTCTGAAAAATACAACCTAAAAGCTGTAAAAATACAAAATAACAAGTAACCAAGAAACCACCCAGAAAACCTACTATTCAAGGACAACTGCAAGCTCGAGATGAAGGAGGCAACCAAGAAAAAGCAGCAGGAGTGGATCAGGAACGGCCATGGGAAGTACTCGGATCTGGGATCCGAAAAGGGCTTCTTCGAGATGACCAAGAAGTCGCAGAACTTTGTGTGCCACTTCTATGCCAGCGGCAACGAGCACTGCAAGCTGGTGGACAAGCACCTGAGGATCCTGGCGCCGCGACACCTGGAGGCGCGTTTCTGCAAGGTGAACGCCGCCCGGGCTCCCTTCCTCACCCGCCGCCTCCGCATGGAGGTGCTGCCCACCGTCGTCCTGGTGAAGGACAGCAGGACCAGGGACTTTATCGTCGGACTCAGCGAACTGGGCGACCGCGCAGACTTCGCCACCGAGGCGATGGAAAGGCGGATCGCCCTCTCCGGGACCATCGATAAGCAGCCATCGAATGGGAAGAGCGCATCGAATGGAAATGGAAACGGGAACGGGAAACCCAAGTCCAACTTGAAACGCCCAAGGAAATCGAAACGCGGCCACTCCGGATAACTCTGACTATCAATACCCATATATTTTATAGAGCACCCTTATTCGGCTGCCTTTCCACGGTTTTTTTGCCTTATATTTTTGATCCATCATTACTAAACTTGGGACCACTCAAAATTTAAACTATATTATATTGTATCATATTATAAACACATTTGGCAGTTGAACTTTTAAAAATGTACCACAGGCTTTTATAATTATCTATGCATTTCTGCTAAGCATCGAGGAAAATGTATTAAATTCCATGTTCAAAATAAAACAGTTGTGTTCTTAGTGAATTAAGAGTTTAAGGTACTTTATAGCTATATCATCCATTATAAATATTTTACAAAGAGCCTTTCTAGAGGTTCCAAACCTAAGTTTTTAATATTTAATAGTTAATACGAATTTTTCTTAATGAATTAAAAGTTTAAGGTACTTAATAGTTATATTACATATTATATATATTTTATAAAGAGCCTTTCTAGAGGTTCCAAACCTTTAGTTTTTATTATTTAAAAGGTAATACTTATTATAAAGTAAATGTATCCTTGGGAAGTAAGATTTGATATATGAATATTCTGTTTTTTATCCCGATCCCTAGTGAAATACGCTCTTGATCCATCATTACTAAACTTATTATTTATTAAATCAAATATTATATATACTTTATAAAGAGTCTTTCTAGAGGTTCCAAACCTATAGTTTTTATTATTTAAAAGTAATACTTATTCTAAAGGTTATGTATTCTTGGGAAGTAAAATCTGTTATATAATTATTCTGTTCTTTATCCCAATCCCCAGTGAAATACGCTCTTGATTTATCATTACTAAACTTAAGACCACTCAAAAAATTGTTTGAACTATATTATATCATTGGTTATATCATACATATATTATAAATATTTTATTAAGAGCCTTTCTAGAGTTTCCAAACTTATAGTTTTAAATATTTAATACGTATTGTAAAGTAAATATATAATTATTCTGTTCTATATCCCGATCCCTAGTGAAATACGCCCCGGATGGCAGCCTGCAGCTGTCGCAGTCGGCCCTGCACCACCTGCGCTGGATGCTGCAGAAGGACGCACTGCGTCAAGACATGTTCCTGCTGGGCCAGCCGGGCCCGCTGCGCCGCCAGCTGGCCATGCAGTTCCTGGAGCTCACGCAGCGCGAGGTGGAGTATGTGGCTCTCAGCAGGGACACCACCGAGAGCGATCTGAAGCAGCGACGCGAGATCCACGACAGGGCGGCCATCTACTACGACCAGGGAGCAGTGCGTGCCGCCCTCAATGGTCGCGTCCTCGTCCTCGACGGCGTGGAGCACGCGGAGCGGAATGTGCTGCCCATACTGAACAATCTGCTGGAGAATCGGGAGATGCACTTGGAGAGCGGCAAGTTCCTGATGTCGCCCGAGCGCTACGACAAGCTTTTGGAGGTGGGTTATTGCTGTTAATCCCCTGGTTAAACCAGCTAATCTTTATCTACTATCTACAACTAGAAACATTCGCGGGAACAGCTGGATGAATGGGGGTTGTTGAGGGTTTCCGAGGAATTTCGAGTGGTGGCCCTCGGTCTGCCCACGCACAAGTACAAGGGCACTCCGCTGGATCCGCCACTGCGCTCCCGCTTCCAGTCCCGCAACGTGACCACCTACTCCTACGGCGAGCTGTACGAGGAACTGCAGCAGGAGGCGCCCGCTGTGCCCGGCGAGCAGCTGAAGCAGCTACTGACCTTCGCTTTGACCCTGCAGCAGGCGGATCCTGCGCTCCAGCTGCCGGATTTCCCGCTCCACAACCTGAGATTGGGTGTCAGGATGCTGGTGGGTACAGCAGTTGATGAGTAATGAGTTTCTTAATCACATTTTAAACTCCCTTAGGAGGCGAATCCCTCTCTGAGCCTGCATGATATCATCAGCAGGATATATCCCTACCAAAGCATGCTAAAGTCCGACCAAAAGAAGCGCGTGGAGGAGCTGCTCAAGAAGCTGGACATTCAGTTGGTGCCCAGCGGCAGCGTCAAGAGAATCGCCAGTAGGACTGGAGATCAAGGGGAAGTTGTACTCAACCTAGATGAACTGCAGCTGCAGCTGCCCGGAGGAGAGACGCCTTCTTCCGCTGCCACTACCTTTGTAGATCTGCCCCATCAGCGACAGGCGCTGGCCAGTCTGCTGCAAGCCTACGCGGTGGGCGATGTGTGCCTGGTGGGCGAGAAGGGCGTGGGCAAGCTGACCCTCACCCAGGAGCTGCTCCGCCTGCTGCAGCAAAGCTCAGAGCCCATGATGCTGTACGAGGACATGACCAGCAGGGACCTCGTCCAGCAGCGGATCACGAGTGCCGAGGGCGACACCGTCTGGCGGGATTCGCCTCTAGTGCGGGCTGCCAAATCGGGATCCGTGGCGGTCCTGAATGGCCTGCATCGCCTGCACAAGAGCACGGCCAGCGTTCTGCAGCGGTGAATATATATTCCATTACCTTAAATACACCCCTAACTAATCGCATTTCATTCTTTACAGCCTCATTCACGATCGGGAACTGCAGCTGTGCGATGGCACTACTCTGCTGGGCGCCCATCGCTACCAGGCGCTGCTCCAGCAGGAGGGATTCACCGAGGACAAGCTCACCGCACTCGGTTTCCTGCCCATGCACAGATCCTTCCGCGTGGTGGCCCTGGCCGAACCACCGCGTCCTGGGGGCGGACAACCCAATTGGCTGACTCCCGAGCTGCTCAGCCTGTTTCTCTACCAGGAGCTGCGTCCGCTAAGCCAGAGCGAGGAGGAGGAGCTGCTGGCACAGCTGTGCGGTGGAGGACTGCCCGCTGGCATGGAGCCGCTGCTGAAGCTGGCCCAGCTGCTCAGATCCTCGCAGGATCCACTGCTGCAGGGATTGGCCGGCACGCTGTCCACGCGGCAGCTGCTCAAACTGGCCCGCCGCCTGGCCGCCTATCCTCGCAGCGAGCTGAGCGATGTCCACGAGATGCTGCAGAACACATTCCTGGCCAGATTCATGCCGGCCCTTTCACGTGGCGCTTTGGAACAGGCCATCCAGCAGGTGGGCATACGGCCAACGGAGTTTAAGACCAAGAAAAGCCAGAAAAACCAGATAGCCGTTGAGAATAACACCCTAAGAATCGGCTCCACGCACTGGCCACTCGGCCAACCCAGCCAGGAGCAGCTGTCCAAGGTGCCCAGCACGCTGTTCTACGAGATGCCGCAGCATCTGCAGCTGCTGGAGCGCCTGCTGCAGGACTACCTCATCGGGGAGCACCTGCTGCTGGTGGGCAACCAGGGTGTGGGCAAGAACAAGCTGGTCGATCGCCTGCTGGAGCTGATGCAGCGGCCCAGGGAGTACATCCAGCTGCACAGGGACACCACCGTCCACAGCCTGACGCTCCAAGCGACGCTTAAGGATGGCCAGGTGTCGTACGAGGACAGTGCGCTCGTTCAGGCAGTGCGATCCGGCCACGTTCTCGTGGTGGACGAGGCGGACAAGGCGCCCGTTAATGTGACCTGCATACTGCGCACTCTCGTGGAGAGCGGCGAAATGGTGCTGGCCGATGGCCGGAGGATTGTGCCAGCGGGTGCCGGCGGCAGGACGCCCAACTCCATTGAAACGCATCCCGATTTCCGACTCATCGTACTGGCCAATCGCCCGGGATTTCCCTTCCTCGGCAACGATTTCTTTGCCGCTTTGGGCGATGTCTTCAGCTGCCATGCCATCAGCAATCCGGATCCGGACTCCGAGATCTTCCTGCTGCAGCAATACGGACCCAAGGTGCCCATCAAGACGCTGCGCACCCTGGTGAATGCCTTCGGGGAGCTGCGAACTCTGGCCGACGAGGGCATGCTCAACTATCCCTACTCCACGCGCGAGGTGGTGAGCATTGTCAAGCATCTGGAACGCTACCCGGAGGAGAACATGTCCGAGGTGGTGGGCAACGTGCTCGACTTCGATCGCTACCAGCCGGAGGCCCTGCAGCAGGTCAACCAGGTGCTGGCCAAGCACGGCATCGAGTCGTATGCCGAGGAGGAGATCCAGGCCATCAGGCGGCAGAAGAAGCTGCAGGCGTCCGTCAAGCGGCACAGCGGCCTCGGCGTCTCGGGACCGAAGTTCGGCAAGCTGGACCCCAAGAACGAGCCGCATGTGGGCGGGAATACGTGGGCCGGCGGCAGCGGGGGCCGCGACACCGCCGGACTGGGCGGCAAGGGCGGTCCCTTTCGGCTGGACAAGGGCCACAAGGTCCATCAGCTGAGCGACGAGGAGAAGGCCGATGTGCCCGAGGAGATCAAGCGGGCCGCACGCGAAATGAACCGCAAGGCGTTCGAGGAGAAGCTCAAGGAGATCAAGATGTCCGCCCACGACCACCGGCTGTACGCCCAGTTCAGCGAGCCCAATCGCAAGCAGGTGCAGCAGCTGAAGGCCGTCCTGGAGGCCATGCAGACGAAGAGCAAGGAGCGCCAGTGGCAGAAGTACCAGACCCACGGCGACCTCGACGACACCCGACTCGTCGAGGGCATCACCGGCGAGAAGAACATCTACAGGCGGCGGGCGGAGGCCAATCCCTGGGCGGATCACGTCCAGGAGAAGCCCAACCGACTCAAGCTGGTCGTCGATGTCTCGGGTTCGATGTACAGGTGAGTGCGATGGTTCAGCAGATCGTTGGGATTTTTGGCGTAGGACCATTTTTGGCCAAGTTACAGCAAAGAAACCAAAGAAAATATTCAAATTTTTGTCAAAAACTGAAATCTCGAAACTGAAATCCCGAATTTCCAAAAAAAAACAAACAAAACCCGTTTTTTCGCTATAACAAAGTAAATACTGATTCAAAGTATGGATTGTCATACCTTTCTGAACTCGTTATTAAATTTCCTAACGATTGGCATTTAAACCTTGACAATTTATTCATTTTTAATTTTTCGCAAAAAATCATGGGGTACCCCCTTATAAAAAAATTTAAAATTGGCGAAAATTTTATTTTTCTAAAATTACACGGAAAGTTTTATGGATTTATAGCAAATTTTGTTATCTGTTCAAAACAGTATGAATTTTTGGTGTAGGACCATTTTTGGCCAAGTAACAGCAAAAAAACCAAAAGAAAAAATTCCAATTTTTGTCAAAAACTGAAATCGCGAATTTCCAAAAAAAAACCAAACCCGTTTTTTCGCTATAACAAAGTAAATACTGATTCAAAGTATAGATTGTCATACCTTTCTGAACTCGTTATTAAATTTCCTAACGATTGGCATTTAAACCTTGACAATTTATTCATTTTTAATTTTTCGCAAAAAATCATGGGGTACCCCCTTATAAAAAAATTTAAAATTGGCGAAAATTTTATTTTTCCAAAATTACACGGAAAGTTTTATGGATTTATAGCAAATTTTGTTATCTGTTCAAAACAGTATGAATTTTTGGTGTAGGACAATTTTTAGCCAAGTTACAGCAAAAAAACCAAAAGAAAAAATTCCAATTTTTGTCAAAAACTGAAATCGCGAATTTCCAAAAAAAAAAACCAAACCCGTTTTTTCGCTAAAACGTTGCAGTTTTTTCGCTATAACAAAGCAAATACTGATTCAAAGTATGGATTGTCATACCTTTCTGAACTCGTTATTAAATTTCCTAACGATTGGCATTTAAACCTTGACAATTTATTCATTTTTATATTTTCGCAAAAAATCATGGGGTACCCCCTTATAAAAAAATTTAAAATTGGCGAAAATTTTATTTTTCCAAAATTACACGGAAAGTTTTATGGATTTATAGCAAATTTTGTTATCTGTTCAAAACAGTATGAATTTTTGGTGTAGGACCATTTTTGGCCAAGTTACAGCAAAAAAATCAAAAGAAAAAATTCCAATTTTTGTCAAAAACTGAAATCGCGAATTTCCAAAAAAAAACCAAACCCGTTTTTTCGCTAAAACGTTGCACTTTTTTCGCTATAACAAAGTAAATACTGATTCAAAGTATGGATTGTCATACCTTTCTGAACTCGTTATTAAATTTCCTAACGATTGGCATTTAAACCTTGACAATTTATTCATTTTTAATTTTTCGCAAAAAATCATGGGGTACCCCCTTATAAAAAAATTTAAAATTGGCGAAAATTTTATTTTTCCAAAATTACACGGAAAGTTTTATGGATTTATAGCAAATTTTGTTATCTGTTCAAAACAGTATGAATTTTTGGTGTAGGACCATTTTTAGCCAAGTTACAGCAAAAAAACCAAAAGAAAAAATTCCAATTTTTGTCAAAAACTGAAATCGCGAATTTCCAAAAAAAAACCAAACCCGTTTTTTCGCTAAAACGTTGCACTTTTTTCGCTATAACAAAGTAAATACTGATTCAAAGTATGGATTGTCATACCTTTCTGAACTCGTTATTAAATTTCCTAACGATTGGCATTTAAACCTTGACAATTTATTCATTTTTAATTTTTCGCAAAAAATCATGGGGTACCCCCTTATAAAAAAATTTAAAATTGGCGAAAATTTTATTTTTCCAAAATTACACGGAAAGTTTTATGGATTTATAGCAAATTTTGTTATCTGTTCAAAACAGTATGAATTTTTGGTGTAGGACCATTTTTGGCCAAGTTACAGCAAAAAAACCAAAAGAAAAAAATTCCAATTTTTGTCAAAAACTTAAATTGCGAATTTCCAAAAAAAAACCAAACCCGTTTTTTCGCTAAAACGAAGCAGTTTTTTCGCTATAACAAAGCAAATACTGATTCAAAGTATGGATTGTCATACCTTTCTGAACTCGTTATTAAATTTCCTAACGATTGGCATTTAAACCTTGACAATTTATTCATTTTTAATTTTTCGCAAAAAATCATGGGGTACCCCCCTTATAAAAAAATTTAAAATTGGCGAAAATTTTATTTTTCCAAAATTACACGGAAAGTTTTATGGATTTATAGCAAATTTTGTTATCTGTTCAAAACAGTATGAATTTTTGGTGTAGGACAATTTTTAGCCAAGTTACAGCAAAAAAACCAAAAGAAAAAATTCCAATTTTTGTCAAAAACTGAAATCGCGAATTTCCAAAAAAAAACCAAACCCGTTTTTTCGCTAAAACGTTGCAGTTTTTTCGCTATAACAAAGCAAATACTGATTCAAAGTATGGATTGTCATACCTTTCTGAACTCGTTATTAAATTTCCTAACGATTGGCATTTAAACCTTGACAATTTATTCATTTTTATATTTTCGCAAAAAATCATGGGGTACCCCCTTATAAAAAAATTAAAAATTGGCGAAAATTTTATTTTTCCAAAATCACACGGAAAGTTATATGGATTTATAGCAAATTTTGTTATCTGTTCAAAACAGTATGAATTTTTGGTGTAGGACCATTTTTGGCCAAGTTACAGCAAAAAAACCAAAAGAAAAAATTCCAATTTTTGTCAAAAACTGAAATCGCGAATTTCCAAAAAAAAACCAAACCCGTTTTTTTGCTAAAACGTTGCACTTTTTTCGCTATAACAAAGTAAATACTGATTCAAAGTATGGATTGTCATACCTTTCTGAACTCGTTATTAAATTTCCTAACGATTGGCATTTAAACCTTGACAATTTATTCATTTTTAATTTTTCGCAAAAAATCATGGGGTACCCCCTTATAAAAAAATTTAAAATTGGCGAAAATTTTATTTTTCCAAAATTACACGGAAAGTTTTATGGATTTATAGCAAATTTTGTTATCTGTTCAAAACAGTATGAATTTTTGGTGTAGGACAATTTTTAGCCAAGTTACAGCAAAAAAACCAAAAGAAAAAATTCCAATTTTTGTCAAAAACTGAAATCGCGAATTTCCAAAAAAAAACCAAACCCGTTTTTTCGCTATAACAAAGTAAATACTGATTCAAAGTATGGATTGTCATACCTTTCTGAACTCGTTATTAAATTTCCTAACGATTGGCATTTAAACCTTGACAATTTATTCATTTTTTGGTGTAGGACCATTTTTGGCCAAGTTACAGCAAAAAAAACAAAAGAAAAAATTCCAATTTTTGTCAAAAACTGAAATCGCGAATTTCCAAAAAAAAACCAAACCCGTTTTTTCGCTATAACAAAGTAAATACTGATTCAAAGTATGGATTGTCATACCTTTCTGAACTCGTTATTAAATTTCCTAACGATTGGCATTTAAACCTTGACAATTTATTCATTTTTAATTTTTCGCAAAAAATCATGGGGTACCCCCTTATAAAAAAATTTAAAATTGGCGAAAATTTTATTTTTCCAAAATCACACGGAAAGTTATATGGATTTATAGCAAATTTTGTTATCTATCTATAAAAACCAAACCCGTTTTTTCGCTATAACAAAGTAAATACTGATTCAAAGTATGGATTGTCATACCTTTCTGAACTCGTTATTAAATTTCCTAACGATTGGCATTTAAATCTTGACAATTTAATCATTTTTAATTTTTCGCAAAAAATCATGGGGTACCCCCTTATAAAAAAATTAAAAATTGGCGAAAATTTTATTTTTCCAAAATCACACGGAAAGTTATATGGATTTATAGCAAATTTTGTTATCTGTTCAAAACAGTATGAATTTTTGGTGTAGGACCATTTTTAGCCAAGTTACAGCAAAAAACCCAAAAGAAAAAATTCCAATTTTTGTCAAAAACTGAAATCGCGAATTTCCAAAAAAAACCAAACCCGTTTTTTCGCTAAAACGTTGCAGTTTTTTCGCTATAACAAAGTAAATACTGATTCAAAGTATGGATTGTCATACCTTTCTGAACTCGTTATTAAATTTCCTAACGATTGGCATTTAAACCTTGACAATTTATTCATTTTTAATTTTTCGCAAAAAATCATGGGGTACCCCCTTATAAAAAAATTAAAAATTGGCGAAAATTTTATTTTTCCAAAATCACACGGAAAGTTATATGGATTTATAGCAAATTTTGTTATCTTTTCAAAACAGTATGTATTTTTGGTGTAGGACCATTTTTGGCCAAGTTACAGCAAAAAAACCAAAGGAAAATATTCCAATTTTTGTCAAAAACTGAAATCGCGAATTTCCAAAAAAAAACCAAACCCGTTTTTTCGCTATAACAAAGTAAATACTGATTCAAAGTATGGATTGTCATACCTTTCTGAACTCGTTATTAAATTTCCTAACGATTGGCATTTAAACCTTGACAATTTATTCATTTTTAATTTTTCGCAAAAAATCATGGGGTACCCCCTTATAAAAAAATTTAAAATTGGCGAAAATTTTATTTTTCCAAAATTACACTGAAAGTTTTATGGATTTATAGCAAATTTTGTTATCTGTTCAAAACAGTATGAATTTTTGGTGTAGGACCATTTTTGGCCAAGTTACAGCAAAAAAACCAAAAGAAAAAATTCCAATTTTTGTCAAAAACTGAAATCGCGAATTTCCAAAAAAAAACCAAACCCGTTTTTTCGCTATAACAAAGTAAATACTGATTCAAAGTATGGATTGTCATACCTTTCTGAACTCGTTATTAAATTTCCTAACGATTGGCATTTAAACCTTGACAATTTATTCATTTTTAATTTTTCGCAAAAAATCATGGGGTACCCCCTTATAAAAAAATTTAAAATTGGCGAAAATTTTATTTTTCCAAAATCACACGGAAAGTTATATGG